TATGCTAGCGGTGGGCTTGAGCGGTAACATTTCATGTCTCTTATAATAGGCTTGAAAAGATGAACAATATCACTTCCACTCTTAGACTTGTTTGATTCCCTCGATCACGTTGTCATTAAGCTTCGCAAAGGCCAAAACTTCTCAAGGAAAATTGTAGTAGTGTGCTTGCTACTTTACTGGATTCTAAATAACTGAAACAGTAGACTTGTGAAAATTATTCAAATACTTGATTAATACCCAATTTGAATGCTGGAGAAGTGAGCTTTGCATACACGCAACATTACTGAAGAGTAATTTACCATACAGGCATGGAAGCTGTTGGGGTGGTGACAGCTGCGGGCCCTGGAGTAAACGACGTGAAAGTTGGAGACCTTGTTGGTTATGCTGGTAACCCAATGGGCTCATATTCTGAAGAACAGATAATTCCTGCAGACAAAGTTGTTCCAGTACCTCCCTCGATTGATCCTACAGTTGCAGCATCTGTCCTGCTGAAGGGTATGACAGCTCAATTTTTAGTTGGTCGCTGTTTCAAGGTTGGTTGAGTTTTATCGTATTTATTTGCAGTTGTTAGATTTAAGATTCATGTGTGTTATATTACAAGTTACTGAAAATAGTTGGTCTGTCCTTATTCTTATGCCTGTATGCCCACATCATTAGACATTGACTTTACATGTCGTAGATCTCAGGGGGAAAATGGTGTTTAGCAACCCCGATTGAAGGTAGAAACCGAGATTTAGTTGAACGTATGTTTCATTTGGGTTGGATATGAATTAAAAGGATTACAATGTAAAAACCCAAGCCCACCGCTAACATATATTCTCTGCTTTGGCCCGTTATGTACCGCTGTTAGCCTCACGGTCTTAAAATACGTCTGTTAGGGAGAGGTTTCCACACCCTTATAAGGAATATTTCGATCTCCTCTGCAACCGACGTGGGATCTCACATACAATACAATATCTCCTTATATTATATAAAAGTGGCCCTTAAATGGGTCACCAATACTAGAGTAATATATCAAAACACTGTGATAAGTAACAATTGGTTAATATCATGTAACTTGTTCATTCCATTTCATGAATTACCACCAAATTTTGGGAGTTGGGAATTTTGAGTTACTAACTTAGGCTTACCCCACATACACTATCCAGCATCAGTAACATTTCTATGACCCCGATGAGATATCGCCTTATATTCTCTGCAGGTTGAACCTGGACATATCGTCTTCGTTCATGCAGCAGCGGGTGGAGTTGGATCCTTGTTGTGTCAGTGGGCTAACAATCTTGGTGCCACTGTCATTGGAACTGTCTCAACAAAAGAGAAGGCAGCTCAAGCCAAGGAGGATGGATGCCATCATGTTATTATCTATAAGGAAGAGGATTTCGTTGCTCGTGTTCGTGAGATAACTCGCGGAAATGGAGTTAATGTTGTTTATGACTCTGTAGGAAAGGATACCTTTCAGGTAATAATTGTATTTTTTTGGTGTTTTTAGTTCCAAAATCATAGTTTAGGCGATTAGCTTAGAGCATCAGGCTTTGCTGAGTTCTCACGGCTATATGGTAATGATTCAGTAGGGAAGATGGTTGGGAGACGAGTCCCACATTGGCTAATTAAGGGCTTGATCATGGGTTTATAAGTAAAGAATACATCTCCATTGGTACGAGTCTTATTGGAAAACAAAAAGTAAAGCCGTGAGAGCTTATGCTCAAAGTGGACAATATCATACCACTGTAAAGGTTCGTGATTCCTAACACTTAATGGATTGTTTCATGAATTTTTTTCTCTTTCAATGAACAGGGATCATTGGACTGTCTTAAAACTCGCGGCTATATGGTGAGTTTTGGACAGTCATCAGGAGCACCAGACCCAGTTCCACTCTCTGCACTTGCAGTAAAATCTCTGTTCTTAACGAGACCAACCCTAATGCATTATAACTTAACCCGAGACGAGCTGTTGAAGGCTGCACGAGAGTTATTTGCAAAAGTTGAATCTGGTGCTCTACGGGTTCGTGTTAATCACCGATATCGTTTATCTCAAGCTGCACAGGCACACGCTGATCTCGAGAATCGGAAAACATCAGGGTCAGTTGTTCTTCTTCCTTAAAAGTACTGTCTTTGGAAATAGTTCTGTACTCTGTAGTATTAAGTCTTTCAAGTTGGTTTATGCTGTTGATAGACAAAACCGTCTCTCTTTGAACTGGTTCTATACTGAATTTATGTGCTTTGAATAAAAATGTATATTAACTTAAAGAATTCAAACATTCCTTTAAAAAATGTGAAACAATGAATGTGTGGTACTCGGTGGGCTAAATTTCGACAAATATAGATTTTTTTTTTTTTTTTTTTTTTTAGAATGAATTTATGAAAAGTAATTTTTACGTAATTCTTTTAATTTTTGGAAGTGATTTTTATATAATTAAAAGTATATTTTGAAGTGATTTTATTTATTTATTTATTTTTGTAAAAGTGTTTAGTTATTAATCCTTTTAATATTTAGTTCTGCAATAGTAAAAGTGATTTAAATTTAATTAAAAGTAATTTTTAAATGATGATTTTAGGAATCATTCAAATTATTAAATAAATAATAACAATAAATTTAGAAATTTAGAAATAAATAAATAATAAATTTAGAAATTGAGTTAAAAATAGAATTTTTAGTTGATAAAGTTGGGGTATTTAATTAATAAGATTTGAAAATCACAGGTGGATAGCTGGTTCAACAAAATATTATTAAATAAAAACCAAATTAAGTGGGAATAATTTAACAATTATTTCTCTAATTTTGAAATTTAATTACACTAATTTTGGATATTAAGTTAAGGCGTCCGATAAGAGCGCTAGTCTGTGTCCTAAAACAGAGTGGCCAAACACTACCTGCGCGCCACGTCCAAATCACGTGACCATGATCCATCTTTTCTTCCCCAGCCATGACCTGTATATAAACCAATCCTCCCCATCTCCTTCTGCCCTAAATCTCTAAATCTCCACCGGAAGTTCTGAAAATGGCGCCTCGTTGTCTCTTCTTTTCCCTCATCTTCATCGCTCTTTTCCTCTCTGCATTGGCTCGCAACACTAAAGTAAGTTGCGTCTCTTTTAATACATTTCTTCCTTCTTGCTTGATCTTCGTACTTTCATCATCGGAGCCGTTTTGATGATCTTCACTCAATTTGTTATATTTACTCGTGATTACTTTTGACTGTGTCTGTTTTGATCTTGTTGATCGATCGCCTTTAGTAGTCGAGTTGTTGTAATGTTTGAGATTGATTATTCATATTTTCTGACAGTCGAACTGATTCACAGATTGTAGTTTACAAAATACAGGATAATGATCCGATTTATGCGCTGATGATTGTCGATTGTATTTTGCAATAACGAAGTGAATGATTGATTCACATTTAAGATCGGTTTTGAGTTATGACAGGGAAACTAGTTATAGAAATGCTCTTTAGAAAATGCATTCGATTTCTCAGTTATTGATGATAGTCGATTGTATGTGTAAGAAATAACTAAATGAATGTTTAACGTTTCAGATTGATTGAGTTACGTCAGTTCTACGAATTGCAGAACTCTGTTTAGAAAATGCAAGATCATGCTCCCATTTCTGCGTTGATGATAGTCTTTTGTATATGTAATGCCGAATTGGATGAATGATTCACATTTCAGTTCAATTATGACTTATGAGTCATGATATGTTAGTTAATTATTGAAATGTTGTATTAGGCAAGATAATGCTCCAATTTCTGCGTTTATGATTCACAATGGTCGATTTTATGTGGAATAACTTATTGAATGAATGACTTGATGCAAATTAGTTTTAAATTGATATAAATCGCCGTAATTTCTGAGCGGATTGTGGTCCGTGGAAAATGATGGGAGTGTTTTCTGGTGCAGGAAAAATGCGTGTACACATTCTACGTGAAGACAGGTTCAGTACTGAAGGGAGGAACGGACGCCATAATCAGTGTCACAATCAGCGACGCAAATGGCCAATCGGTGGAGATCGCAGATCTTGAATCTTGGGGGCTGATGGAAAAAAACCATGACTATTTCGAACGAGACAATGTCGACATATTCAGTGGGCGGGGCCCGTGCATCGAAGCGCCATTGTGTCGATTAAACCTGACCTCCGACGGATCAGGCGCCCACCACGGCTGGTTTTGCGACTATCTGGAGGTGACTTCGACTGGGCCACACAGATCCTGCTCCCAGACGGCGTTTTATGTGGACCAGTGGCTGGCCACCGACGCGCCGCCATTTCAGCTGACGACGATTCTGGACGGGTGCGATGATTGGATCAAGGGACATGAAGCGTCGAGGCATACGAGTAGAGGAAAGCTGGTGGTCTCCGGTTCCAAAGGATCTGCTTCGTTGTAACGGAATGCGATCGAAAAGTGAGTCGTATACGGATGTTTGGAAGTGATTTTACATCTTAATTTAAATTAAATAATGGGCATTTTCTTACGTCATTTCCCGAATTTCCACGTTTTTTCTTTTGGTTGTGAGATGTAAATTTCTTCGTCCGACTACGATTATATATTTTTTAGATCATACGTGACGTGTCAGCAAGTTATAATAAAATTTTTATGGTTTGGAATAAAAATTGGAATTTAACTATTTTATTTTTAAAAGTTAGAATTTCATCGATTTCCTACTAGCCTGGATCAAACACCATGTACAAGTGTTTTATCAAATTATAGAAATTAATTTTAAAATTTTATTGGATAAATTATGTAACACTAATTTTATACTTTTAAATATTGGACCAAACATTTTTTTTTTTTTTATTAAGGATCAACTTAATTTAGAATAAACCTGGAATTTATGAAATAAAACATTATACAAAGTAACTCGAAAATAACAAGATCCTAAGTGTTTTATAATATTTATTTAGAATGAACCTCGAATTTGTAAAAAAAAAAAACATTATACAAGTAGGTCGAAAATAACAACAAATGATGTACTTCTCGAACTATAGAGCACTAAAAACGTCCTACAAAAGCAACATATGAACAAAAATATGAATATAACTTAAGTTAAAAGAAAGTTCAGACTGCCAAATTACCAATATCCAATCTGAGAACTTAGAAGAAAAAGAAAAAAGAAGAAGATTTGATGTCGTCAAATTCATGGAGGAAAGGCTTATTTTATGTATGAGCTCGACTCACCATCACCACAAGCAGCACAACAATGGATATCAAGAACGATGTTCTAAGCTTCTCCTCAAACACATCCCTTCCTTCTCCTCTCCTTTTCTCCCCATCATCATCATCATCATCATCCTTCCCACTCTCAAACATCTGCTTCATCACCTCTCTCATTCTCTCAATTACTTCCATCACTCTCGCCTTCATGTTCTTCAAAATCCACACCACGACGTTTGTCGGTTCATCGGAACCCTTATCGGGAGAGCTTTCCAACGAAGTCCCGACAGTGTCGTCTTTTGCTGCAAGCAAGAGAAAACAACAGTTTGATTGATGACCCCATGACAATGGATTCTTTTGTTGGGATTGGTTTTAAAACAACCAACCTTCGTAGAATGACTTCCTCAGCTGTTGCACAGCTTCATTGTTCATAATCGCATCCCAAACCGCTTTATCCGATGATACCGACATAACCATTCTCTAAATACAACATGTTATCATATATGATATGATCCTTTTAACAAATCTCGAGACTCAAATTTAGATATACAACAACATGACATGATATGATTCTATTACAGATCTCGAAACTCGAATTTAGAAATATAACAACATGATATGATCCTTTTAAAAATCTCGAGACTCAAGTTTAGAGGGTCAGATCTCTCTCGCCCGACATTTGTCATATTAAAATAATTGCTATTAAACTCTTAGGAATTTTAATTAATACCATTTATATTCAACTAACCTAATTAATAGCAAAGTACCCAAATAAATAATTTAATCATTTTACCATTCTATTATTTTATTTTTTTTAATTATTTTCCAATGGGCATTTTCATGATATATTTAAAGGAGGAGGAGCAAGTAGCAAAAGTCACCTGAACTGAAGGGTCAGTCTGCAATAATTGAAAAGCATCATAAACCCTTTCAACGCCACGCGCGCCCAATTGCAGCTCCAAACACGGCTCAATCCAATCCACCTCCGACCCAACTGGAGAAGCCCGGTTTACCAAACCCGTATACATCCCGACCCGACCCAGTTCATCCTTCTCTTGGCCAAAAACCCTAAACTCGAGAAATTCACAGCGCCGGCAATGAGAATTCTATCGAATAATCTCAATAAAATTAAAAAGAATTGGAATTCGTACTGGTTAATTGCAGAGACGGCGCCTTGAACCTCATCCAAGGAAGGAACAGACCATCCATTTGCGTCCTCCTCAGAAACCCTAGCGATATTTTCGGTCTCGATTCCGTCCTCAGAAATCCACTCGAACTCATCGCAGTAGGGATTGCAGAAATGCCAGCCGGCGGAAAGCGGAGAGTGGCTAAGAGAAGAGCTCAACGACAGGCCGTGGAAATTAGCGGAGCCGCCGTGCCGGTGCGTGGCTCGGGAACTGGACGTCGGAGAGGAAGGTCGGTTCGCGACACCGGCACTGGCGACGCCGGCTCTGGAGACTGCTCGACCGGCAGTTCTGATGATGTTTCCGGCGCTCAGAGGTCCCATGATTATCGTAGCTCGATCGTTGTGCTATTCTTGGAAGTGGATAGAGCTGAGAATTTGTGTCCATCGCCGTTACTGTACTTTATATTTTGGTTTCATTATGGGCTCGGTTTGTCCTTGTTCTTCTTCTTGGGTTGGGATTTTATCATTTGGGATACCTTTCCTAACCCAACAGGCAAGGTTATTACTCTATTGAGTTTATCCGTTTATTTGATCCATTCGAACTACCCAACCATGTGTCTTTCATTTGGGTCGAGGTGAATTTTTTTAAAACCATTAAAAATATTTAACCGTTTATAACCGATATTTGAATTTTATGAGATTTTAACTATTAATATAATAATTAGTAGGTATAAGTATGATTTTTTTAAATAACTAAAAAAACAATTTGACAATCCAACCGAGCCCTATTTGAGTTATTGGAGTTGCAGCCCAACAAGATTGATTTAAAAGATTTTTCCAACTCAATCCATTTATACCCTAATATTCTTCTAATAGATAAAATAATGCTTTAATGAGCTAAACATTTCATATGCTACATTTAGCGTTGGTGTGTGAGATTCCTCATTAGTTGGGGAGGGTACAAAAACCGTAATAGGTGACATGCCAAAATGAACAATATCTGCATACGATGGGATTAGACTATTACAAATGGTATCAGAACCATACACCAGATAGTATGCTAACGAGGACACTGAGCCTTCAAACGAGAGAGGTTGTGAGATTGGGTTGTTTGTGTTTTTGATGAGTATGAAAATGAAGCAATAGGAACGTCTTTGTATGGAGGAATCAGATTTTCCCATGATTGTTAGAACAAAACAAAGGCATTGAAGTTGCCTGGTGGTGCTTCTCATTTGGCTGGGGTTTTTTTTTTGCTTCCAACGGACCAAAGTCTCCTCTTATTTGTTCTTAAGAACTAGGAGTACACACCCTTCTTCCACTCCAACCAGTCTCCATTACCACTCTTCTGCATATGGCAATGGAATTGAAAACCAAAAATACCATCCATCTCCATCACTCCCACTCATGTGTAAGTAGTTAGACTAGACAAGACAAAGAACTCGAGCGTTGGTTGAAGACCTTATAAGTATGTCAAAAGTGTCATAGTAGATAGAACAGTTGTGAGTCATAATCAAAATTTAATAGCGGGTTGAAGCCAAGACTCTCTCAAATTTATTAGTGTTGTGTGTCAAGACACCTCTATTTGGAGAGATCTATCCATCAAACGACAACCATGTTCATATGTCAAGGACTTGGGGTTTCAATATGGACAATAAATAGAACTCGGGTGTCTGCCAAAAAACCATTCGCATTAGAGGAACATTGTCAATAATGACAAGTAGAGAAGCCAGGTGTCAGACAAGACAAGCATCAACCAAGTACCAAGTTGACCACAACGCAAGTTCTTATGGGAAGCGATACTACTGCAAGGAGCGAGCACACGTGTATTCCTTGAGCCACCGCTTCTACTTTACACATTTCTTACCCCAAAAATTGAGTATGTGGCCATGGGAAGGAGAGTGTGGATGGCTCTCCATTGGACCAAATGGGGTATTGAAACAAATTACATATGAAGATATGGACTAAAAGTTGACTAAGAATAGAGAAAGATATGGGCAAAATAAGTGGACACAACTCAAAAGTGAACACCCAATATAGAATATGGGCCTCCAAAACTCAGCGAGTGAGCTATTACAAGTAGCAACACAAAAACTAGCCTTTTTCTTTATGAATATTTGCAACCATCGTAAATCCCAGCAGCTATGATGAATACACTGTTAGAACACATGCTCAACTTTTGAATATATACCCACAGAGTTCCACTTACATGTTGGAGATCAAATGAGTGAATATATATATATATATGTGTGTGTAAGGTCCAAATTGTATGTGAATTTGTGGAGAAGGGGAGAGGTTAAGTTCAAAACCAGACATCATTGCAGTTGCAGTTTGACATATGAAAGAAGAAGGAATGGTAAGGGGCTGACAAAGTTTTGTTCCACTCATCTCTTAAATTATAGGCCACAAAACCACTTTGTTGTGTGGCGGTGTCTTTCGCTTTGAAGTGGAGATTTCACCCATCACGTCTCGAGCTTCACCGTTTGCAAATATTATCTATTTTAGCCATAATGTAACACAATCAGTTTTACAATGTTAAAACGTGTAACAAATATTTTAAAATGTGTTTACTAAGAATAGTTTTCCACATCGTTATACATCTTTCCTTCCCCTCTGCAAGCGACATGAGATCTCACACCTTTTAAAATGGTAGAGACTAAACCAAACATACTCAATATAGAACGAGATTAAGAGTGGGGTAAAAAGTTGTGCGAACCATTAATTGTAAGCCATTGATGTTGGAAAGGTTGAAACGAAATGATATGCTATGATGATGTGCTCCATTAAGCAAGGTTGTTGTGTCAAATTCGAAACGAAAGGATGACAGAAAAGAGAATAGAAAGAATAAGAAGAAAAAAAAAGTGAGCAAAAAGATAGAACAACAACAGCACCACCACGATGATGATGATGGAGATCAACATTTTCCACCACCAATTATTTATTTTAATTATTTATTTAATTAATTAAAACATAAACACTATTCCATAGTCAAACCTTATTCCATCATCCTCGATACCCCATTTCTTCCTTTTAACTCATTTCAAATTTTTATTATATATATTCTCAAATAAGTAAAAATATTTAATTATATTTAATTTCTAATTCACTATTATTATTATTATTATTATTATTATAAACACCCACCAAACATTCCATGAAGCAAATATTTTAAGGTGCTTTAGAAGAATATTAAAATAGTGTTATTTGTTTTTTCTTTTCTTTTTCAATGTTCTTTAAATAAAATAAAATATATTTTCAAAATTTATATTTTAATCAAAATTTGATTCTTGGCGAGAAAAAAAGTGGATGTTTAAGGAGTGGTCCAAAATTAAAGTAGAAGAATAAATAAATAATCATAGTAATAGTAATAATAATTCACAATTTTAAAATTTTCACATGAAATTCCTTTTTTTCCTTTTTAATATTTATTTGGATTCTTAGAATCATCATTTAATCTTCCTATTTAAAACACATTCCCACTATGTTTTGTTCCCCATAAATTAAATAACTTTTAATCCTCTAATTTTATATAAAAATAAATAAATAAAAACAATGAATGAATATGTTTGGGACGTGGACATAAAATCAACAATATACACTGATTTTATTAATATTAATGTATTCCAAAATTTAATTAATTTTACGGAGTCAAATTAAAAAATAATAATAATAATTAGAAATTCAATAAATTGGTCGCCGTGTAAGATTGGACTCGAGTCTAGGCCTTGCCAAATAAATAAATAAATAAATAAATAAACAAATAAAAGATTCCAAATTAATGGGACTAAGATAAGTAATTAAAGATGTTAAGAACGTGATTAAGTATTAATGGCCAAAGCATTCTCTGATTATGCTCATCTCCCCACCATTCTCTTTTTTTTTTTTTTTTTTTTCTTTTCCAAATTTAATGTATATATATATATATATATATATATATATATTTAAGATATTAAAATCTGAAGAATGTATAATGAAATCAAAATGAATTAATTGACATAAATTTGGTATTAATATTATTTTATTATTATGAAGATGTCACATTTTTTAAAACTAATTTTTAAATGCCTCTGAATATATTTTTTAAAATTATCTTCGTGAGTACGATAATGTTATTATAATGGCTGTCATTGGTCGTGAATTTTATTTCAAAACAAAACAAAACAAAAATTATATTGGAAATATATATATATATATTTTTAAATGCTTTTCGTTGCAAAATGGTGTTAAGACTTTTTGTATGATTATTTTAACATTAAATCTCTCAATTATTGCAGATTTATAATTGTATTAAATATTCATAATTTGAAGTTTTAAAAATAATTTAATTCTATTGACTTCTATAATTACTTAATTCTATTGTAGTATCTTACGTTGGTTGGAGAACAAAATACTCTTTACAACCACTTGAAAACCTTTCACTACCAACGTGTTTTAAAGCCGGAAGGGAAAGTCTAAAAGAGAAAGCCAAATAGGACAAAATAAGAATATATCCAAAATACGTCGCAATTATTTTGCATTATGCAATAGCGATGAATTATTTGAAAGTTCTCTTTCTCTCGAATAATTTCAACTATCTAATTTGTCATATAGCTAGCCGTGTCTCTTTAGTCTTATAAATTACGCCACGGGATCAATTTCTTCTCTCCTTTGCCCATTTTCTACCAACTTATGTCAATAAAATATTTAATTTCATGCTTTACCTTTTCACTTTTGCTCTTTTACATTTGCCTTCAATCACAATAACCTTGTTTTTTTAACTTTTTTTCTTTTTAATGAATTAATTTTTGTAATTAAATGAAATCAATCGATATTGTATATATATAAATGACTCGAACAATTTGAACCAACCAAATTAAAATATATATTTTATAGTTGAGTTGAGTGAGTTGGATTTATTGTTTAATAAGAATTATTTGAATTGAAAAAATAAATTAGAAAAAATCATAATAACCCATAAACATTTTATGTGCACGTTCATAAAACCATTAGCAATAAAATAAAAGCAATAACTAAATTATTGTTCAACCATTAATAAAAGAAATTCAACATGCATAATTTAAGAATTAGTGGAACGTTCAAAATTCCAAGTCCACGTATTTTTTTGGTTAAAATAATTAAAATAATCTATAAAATAAAATAAAACAAACTCATTTTTAGCCGTTTATTTATTTCTCACCTATGATTACTTAGAAGGATGGTTTATGAAAAGCATTCACAATGATGAATTAATAATTTTTAAAAAAAAAACAATAATTAGGATGAAATTAATTTAATTAACCCTCTCATAACTCAATTCAATCAAATCGAGTAAATGAATCATTTTTTTTTCACGATTTTTTTCATTTTTTTAATATATAATGAGCGAGAAAGAGCAGAGATTAGATGAGGTCGAGAATTGTAAATATAATCCTCATTTAGCTAACAAGGAAAAAATTTCCCCTCCTCGTTCCTTGTTTAAACTTGTATTTTCCACCCCCATTTAGAAG